CGATGCTGATAAGTTCTTCTACTTTTTTCATCCTTCAATGCCAGTGATTCTGAAAAAGAAAGTAGATAATTCCAACCTCGTCAGTAGTAAGAATTTTCGATTCATTAGACCAATAATTTCAGAATTCGAAGATGTTAGAGAAGACACTACAAACATCTTACGAAATACGATCACGAAGCCGTTTATACCAACTATCCTTTTCCTAGAAATATAAAAAAATGGATATCGGGAACGGAGAACTCGGCTTCTATGTGGACATTTAAGCCTCGACTAAATCACCTTAAGTTTTCATAAAATCCACGGCAGTCATCAAACTCTCATTGGCCTCATGGGTATCATGAATTTCTTTTCGTTTATACTTTTCTAATTCTTGTTTACTACTTCTGTGACCATACTGTTTTTCAGTAAATGCTGTTCAACGTCTTTATTCTATTAGATCGCTTAAAAACAACTGCTATTATAACTCTTTCATTCGAGATTCATGTGTCCGAGCTCGTCTTGACCCATTAACCATGAATTTTAAGGCTTTTGGAGCAAAATTTCTCTGTCTATGCACTCAAAAGTGTGTTTTAACCGCTGAATACTTTTCATTCACGAAATCGTTGAACCAATGAAAAATGTAGTCATTGATTAGCGATAAGACCGATAAGTGCGCAGATCTACTGAGAGGGAGTTCACTATAAGAACTCATGAAACTTTTCCACTACCGTTGGCTTAGTTAGAAACGCAGCTGTCACAGCAGAAGAATTCCACCAGTCAATCATCACCAAGAGACTGCCATTACTTCTGCTCACGCAAATCGTATTTGGCTACGTGAATGGCGCTGGCTGTGCATTCCTGTCCATTCAGTTATGTAATCCTGCGTAGTCCCTTACTGTGCAGAATCCGTTTTTTGTCACGGTCGCCACAAAGCGACCAAGAATTACGTCGTTTTCGTTGTTAGATAAACAGTTGGAACAATTTTTATACCGATGAACTCTTTGACACCTTCACTCAATCCATACGGAATCCACATTCCTTTTCTTTTCTTGTTCTCTACATTTTGGAATTCCGTCAACGTGCTTAGAGCAACTTCTTCTACACGTTTTCGAATTGTCGTAAGCAAATCTCTTTCATTTTAACGTCTCCAGGCTGTCATCGACGACAGCATCAGGTTTTCCCAAATTCTCCTCGCGCTCACGATTTTCGTTTGCATCACAAAATTTCGATCACTCGTTTGGTGCTGACTTCTTGGCTAAATATAATTTCGATCCTGCGTACTACCTTTGCAATTTATTCCTACTTTTAACTTTACAAAAAATTTATGGAATTTTACTTATCCATCTTCACTAGAGAGACAGATAGCACAGTGGTAGTGATGTCCGTCACCACGATCATAGTGCTAGTTCGATTCCGCTCAAGGGCAACCAAGCCTCTCATCTCTCTGGGGTCGGGAAACTAGCACCGGACTTGCCTGAAAAAAAAATCGCTCTCTACAATCTAATTGGGAACGTTCCAGCTCAGCTATCTCAGGACTCTAGGGGAACTGCTCGACCAGCATTCTACGACATTCGAGATGAAATGGAAATCCTCAAGCAGGAACCGAAGCCACAAGTAAGAGTTGAAAGATCTTCGTGGACAATAGATGCTAGGAAACGAATCGAATGTGAGAAGTGCTGGGATCCGTTCAGTAGACGTGAAGACGGATCAAATAAATTAAAATGAAAAGATAAAAAAATTATTATTGCTGAGTCGTCACTACTATTTTCATTAGTCGTTATTAGACCAGTCTCACTGTACCGATTCGCCCTAATTTCCGCATAGGCTTTAAACTATCCTCTGTTATCACTCTCAGTTACGAAGAATGTCTTACTTGCCAGGATACGTTAGATTAGTTCAGGACAGATTAAATAATCCCTCTCCTTTCAAACCGAATTTGACTAAAATGTAATGAGGTATCCAGTCTAGGCTGAACCATATTTACAAACGCAATGCAAACTGTGCGTATCGATTATGGTGCGGCGACGATCAATACGCATGAATAGCATGTGTCTGTAGCTCTCTTTTTCGAACATACTGTGGTATTAACATGTTCTGCTACATTCTGGCATCAAACTTACCTTTGAATTAAGTAATTTGGATTGCTAAATATCATTCAACTGCGATAACTACAGAGGGAAAACATCTTCATAACGTCCAAGGTGTGGAACACCCTCCACTCAGCTCCTGCTTGCAAAGTTTGCATTTGGGTTTTTTTATGCTTAAGGTTTTTTCTTCTACGCCAGTGTTAAGTGGTGTTAAATTTCGAAAACAACTGTGTGAGGGTAAATGTTCTTTTTTTCTAAAAGGAACACTGCACGGAAATCTCCTAGTTTTTAGGAGAGCCGTTCATTTATCTGAGTTTGGCGATTTTTTCAACACTTATTTCTACCTACATTTTTTTCACTATGCCGACAAAAGCTGCACTAATGGGTGCCTTTATTCGAAATTCTTCGCTGTTTGAAATGGTCGTGATTTTAGAAGCACGTAGTGAAGATCCTTGATCAACTGCACTTGAAATACATCTACTTAAATGTTTATTCATTTTCCAATCGGCTACGAAGAATTTGGCGATCCATTTCCAAAGGTTTGCATTTATTCGACTTCGTGAGCTTGGCACTGGTCGTAATATTTCATAGGTCCAAGGGTAGCTTTTCATCTTCGAGATAAATAGCTTGCCTAATAGTCAGTCCACTCTCTAATGCCTAGGGATTCCTATTTCTATGTAGTTTTCTGCTGCATAAATTTACCTTGTTAGATATCTAGTTTGCCCAACTTTGTGGTTATGTAGCTCCTAACACGATCTCCATCTTAATGGCATTCTATTGGCCTGGCAAGTTCATTTATTAAAAAAAACTGGAGCCTTGGAATGTTGGAATTGGAATGGAATTTTTAGATAACAGACAATGACAAGGCGAAACACTCAAATGAAAATTATGTGACAACCTGGAAGGTGTTGGAGGATTTTGTCAAAGAGGGAAAGGTAGGCAAAATAAGAAGAGGATTGCGGTAAAGCCATTAGTAATACAGTAGCAGTAAGAATAACGGCACTGGCAATGCTAATAATGATTACTGCTCAGGAAAGCACCCACAGCGGGAAGTTTAACTGGTTTTTCCGAGATAAAAATGAATTCAGCTAGGAGAAAAGGAAAACTCAGAGACAGAGGATTGGTGGGATGTCTCTTTAATGACTGAATGGAATAGAAAAGCGGTACAAGTAGGTCCTTTTAGAGATTTCCAACAACTTCTTTTGAAGGAAAAGTGTAAATTGTATGTTTACAGATTCGAAGCATTGGCATTTCGAATTTCAACCACAAGTAAATCGAGCGGTTAATCGCCAACAGCACTATCAAACCGGGTGTTCTACAGGTGCTGACAGCGTTAGATAGAATCCATCATTCGATTGAACTCTATTTCTTAACGACATTCTAGAGCTCTAAAAGGACTAAGCATTAACTAACAATATCCCATAATTTAGCGGTTTGGCAAGACTTCTTTACTTCGTATTTTTGTTGAGCAAACGCGAGGTGTTATTATTCTTTATTCACGAATGAGCTGACTTTTCGGCGGATTTCGCCTTCCTCAGAGCCGCTTTCTATGAGGTTTCCACTAAAGTATGTCACGTAGAGACCAACCGCACAGAAATCACATGGAAGTATAATGTGCCCCACTCATCAGAATAGCAGTCTTATATAGAGTAGAGTATATAGAGTATATAGAGTATATAGAGTATATAGAGTATATAGAGTATATAAGACTGCTATTCTGATGAGTGGGGCACATTATACTTCCATGTGATTTCTGTGCGGTTGGTCTCTACGTGACATACTTTAGGGGAAACCTCATAGAAAGCGGCTCTGAGGAAGGCGAAATCCGCCGAAACGTCAGCTCATTCGTGAATAAAGAATAATAACACCTCGCGTTTGCTCAACAAAAATACGAAGAATTACTTGATCAATGCCGAGGTTAATAGAAAGTCGGTCGTGGGAGACTTCTTTACCTTTAGTGCGTAAAGCCGCGCTAGAGTTTCCCTTTTCAGGAGGTAGTCACCATGTTTTGTGGATAGGAAAGCAATGGTTTGTGACATTGGTTTACCGTGGGCTTACGTGTAGTACAAATATCGAGACTGTTGTCGAGTGGGGAAACGAGGCTAGAGATAGAACCCTGGTGTACATCGCAGTTTGGCATTCAGAAGAACCCTGCAGCTGCATTGAGGTGGCATAGCGGTTCTGATGAGAAGTGTAGATAGATAAGTCTTTATTGAAACAATAGGAAGTGCTCCTCCATTACAAACATAACTGTGCCATATTGATAACAATACTTGGATGATCTATAAGCAAGGTAAACGTTTACAGTCGTTTTTGTGGTTTTTTGAGTGGTTAAGGGGACCTCACCTGTAGTTGGCCAATGGACCCTGTTTACTGGTAAAATCTCTTCAGAAAGCAATTTGATATTATTCAGATCGAGATGCATCCATACCTGCAACAGAGGAAGTTGCTTGCATTTTGCAAGCAGAAGGGAATTGCAGTAACGGCCTACAGATTATCCTTATGAAATCTTACCGTTTCAACCAATTTTGTACTCTATTTGTTACCAAGTTATTTTCGGAGTTAAGTCGACTGGTAAAATCTCTTCAGAAAACAATTTGGTACTTATACACTGCGGGTAGGCCTATGGCAAGTGATATTGGTAAGGACTTGTTCTCCCTCAATTCGTTAATAATCAGCAATCATTGGAGTTATTCGTATTCAAAATCTCCTTTTCAATTCTTTGTAGCGGTGTCTTGGGCTTGTTGTTAACGACGATCTGAGGGAAGAATGATGGCACAGGGTTTCTTGCATTTCATGGAGCAGGGGTTCACTCATTTACTATGTGTGTGGAGGGACACGCTCTAACTATTACGCTATATGTCCCTTACAAGGTTTAATGTAGCTTTCTATCATTACCTTTTTTAGAAACTTCGAAGTCGCCTATGATTGAATTTATGCACCACCGCGTGCAGCTGCTGATAGGAATGCTGCACTAGGAGTATTCGTCAATATTTCATCATGACAAATCGTATGTGACCTCATCCATTCCCCGTATGATTGTCTGTGTGGATTAGAGGCAGGTTTGGGTCGATGCGACTCCTCCCAGGAAGGAAGCGACTTCTGTGATAGGTTCACTCAGCAATGTATTTTCTAAGGGATATACCAGTTCACTAGTACTACCAACAACATTTCAAACACTATCTGATACCATTTCTCAAGCGAAGATAAAGAGGCAGCCATAGCCATTTCTTGCTCAAAGTCAAGCGCGGCATAGCACAGCTTCTCCTTAACATCACAGGCGATTTCGCGTTTTGCAGTTTGGTAAACGAGTAACCACGCCCTGTCAAGATTTTCGTAAGGTAGTCAGTTACATCACAGCCAACTAAATCCAAGCGAAGAATAGCGTGGGGCAGCGCATAACCCTCATAAATAGGAATAGTATGGGTGATACCATCATCAGAATGCATTCTTTCTTGATAAGCTTGCACGAGGTTGATAAATATATTTATTTTCGGCTAACGTTTCGATGTCTTCGTCTTCCTCAGAGCCGACGATCCGAGTCGATGGTCCATGATTGTTGTTCGTCTCGACGTTGCAGCTTCGCCTTCGTGTCGAGCCAGGTCTTCTTCAGTGATCCATCTTCTCGAATAAGGCATCCTCACTCAGTGATGCCTTTTTATACACGATGCTGATGGTGGATATATAATGATAATATCCGGTGATAACCACCTGTATTTTTTCCGGACATACATCATTGCGGACATCGTGCAGAAGTCGGTGTTTTATCAGCTAGCACAAAGCGTAGTAATATTTCGAAACCGACTTTCCCTGAACCTCGGTGTGACTAATCAATATGCATTCTTTCTTGATAAGCTTGCACGAGGTTGATAAATATATTCAAGAAGATGGATCACTGAGGAAGACTTGGCTCGACACGAAGGCGAAGCTGCAGCGTCGAGACGAACAACAATCATGGACCATCGACTCGGATCATCGGCTCTGAGGAAGACGAAGACGTCGAAACGTTAGCCGAAAATAAATATATTTATCAACCTCGTGCAAGCTTATCAAGAAAGAATGCATATTGATTAGTCACACCGAGGTTCAGGGAAAGTCGGTTTTAAAACCATCATCAGAGTTCAGAACTACTCCGATAATACGACCGGACGCGTACAGCGAAAAAACAGCTTGGATGGCAACGTACATAGATAGCAGTAGTGTTAAAAGTCTCAAACATAACTTGCGTCATTTTTTCTCTGATGGCCTTCGGGTTAAGGGGAGCTTCGGTCAAAAGAACAGCGTACTCTTCGTGTGCAACACGGAGCTCGTTGTAAAACGTGTGGCGTCAGGTCTTCTCCGAATCATCCCAGTTAGTGACGATACCGTGTTCGATCGAGTTCTTCAGCAAGAGGACACCCCTTTTAGCCTGAGCTTCGTCTCCTACGTAAGAGTCTTTTTAACCATTCCAACTATGAGACTCTGATGATGACAGCGACCAACGATGGAGGGGAAAACCGCTCGTGGTGCACCGTATCCGGCAAATCCAACCTTGCACATTATGGATTCATCGTCAACTGCAAAAGCAGCCACTTCGTCGTCACACATTCTTTATTCCTCAAGCTTGGGTAATTAATTAATTTTTCTTATTCCACACTATATATTGTGCAGATATTGGGATTTCTCGCATTCGATTCGTTTTCTTGCATTCCACATTTACGATGGTTTTAGGTTTCCTGCGTGGTTTCGGATGCTGCTTAAGGATTTTTTGGTTCTCTACGTAAATGTCATCAAATGGTGGCTTGGAACATTTTTCTTGAAATAATGTGATAGTCGTATTAGGGCGTTCCAGATTTCCATCAAGGGTAGTCGATAATTCTTGTAAATTTGAAGGAGCAAGTTGATCCCAGACAAGACTTGCACCAATTTCCTAAACGCGGTATGATGAAAAGCATTACTGCCCGGGTTAGGGTCCGGTCTAGTCTTTGCACATGTTGCGCAGCTTAGTCCACACTGCGCTATCCGTACGCCAATAATATAGCCAGTCAAAAGTTTTGCTCTAACGTAAAAATATTTATCACCATAGTTTCATTTATTATACACATCTATAATTTGTCCAAAGGAAATGCTAAGAGCAAACTTGAGAGGGTCATCATCAGTTACCACACGGTTGTTTTCATTTGGACGTATTTAGTTCTCTTAGCAATCTTGGCTTGGCATATTTCCGTAAACCTGGTGATCCTAATATTCTAACCGACCCCGTTGTAACGAAAATCGCTGCGGCAGGTGGAAAGGTACGGCTTTATACACATTATGCTTTCCTTACAACTTTACAAGTTAATAATTCGAATTTTTCCACCTATGGCTACAGCAGGAGAAACGTTGAGAGAAAAGTTAGAAATGCTTCGCGAAGGTTTTGAATATGGTAGGTTGTAAAACGAAGGTTATCCAAAGGCTATTTTTTCTAATTTTTATTTTTTCTACAATACTTCTCACGGGCAGCTTTTTGAGTTTCAGGATATGAAAGTGTAAAGTCATTATCAACCAGTTGTGAATTTCAAACACCAGCTCACGTTGCACTTCGTTGGGCTGTACAGCAGCTATTTTTTAGTTTTCAAACATTCTTTGCAATATCTTTTAGCGTTGTTTTCTGCGTTAACAGAGACGTTTGGAACAGCATGAGTCTCATGTGACCACGTCGAGGGGGCCATTTATGGGCCATCAGGAATTCTTCAATCTTTCTACTGCTCCCAAATAAGAAAAAAATCAGCGTGCTAATATTAAGTAATTGTTGAAAAAACAAGACGTGAGCGAGACAATTTTGTGGTTTCTTACAGATGTAACTTTCAGGCAATGAAAAACCTCTTCACTTTCGAAGTCTTACTTTTCACGGCCTGAAATCAATTCCTTGATCGACTTCGTAATTGTGTTTAAGCTTTTGGGATAGTTTGGTTGGGAAAAAATGTTGAAACCTAAAATTGATACCACGCCTTCGTTTTTTGGTAGCACATAGTGTTCCGTACGGCAGGGAATTCGAATAACGATAATGCTGATTTTCGTGTGTTTTCGAAGCTTGCAAATTTCGAATTTGTAAGAGACCTTCAATCACCCCGTTGGCAAAGCAAGTCAGTATAGATGACTTTAGAAACGCGTAGATATCCAATTTGAACAGCAACGTTTATTCCTTGCAAATGTCAGTTATTTGAAAGATTCGTTTTCCACTAGGTTTTAGTTGTTGTTCATTTGATGTAAGGTTTAATCTTCTAAAGCGAATCAAAGAGAAAGAGGCTGTGTTCGACATCCAGCTGACCGAAGCCGAAATGAAGGAGATCGACGGGCTCGAACGCAGATAGCGTCTCGTCGACCTTAGCGCAAGCGATTCCCATCATCCTCAGTTCCCATTTTTGGAGGAATACTAAGCCGTCATGGTTTCAGTTCATATTGTTATATTGTTACCATTCAATCACTCTAATACATGTTGGGTTCACAATCTCGTCAATTGTTATTTACTGTTATTTACTGTTATTTACTGCCTACTATTTTTTAACGGCAGGGTATTATGTGAAATATAACCACAATGTGTTGCTGAGACATCTGCAAGACTCCGGACCGCTATTGTCTGCGGTGGAGACCGAACACGCTGGTACAAGTTGGATTGTTTAACTCCATACTAAGCGAGGACGCTTTTTTGGAACTGGAATCTATTTTTGTTTACATGTTACAAGAAAAACACGTTCAGCGCTGACGATACTACTCTTTAAGAGACTCGAAATGAAAAGATGAAAAGAAAAATTATGAAAAGACGAAGACAAATAATCAAACGTCTCCTCCATTAGCACTCCCGCTATGACTGACATCTACATGTATCATATTTTCCCGGTGATTTATTCCGGTACACAGATATTTTTCGTAGATTTTTTGAAATCAGTTATATTAATTGGTAGATTATCAAACGTAGTTACTATAACGAGCATCGTGTCTGTCTGGGAGGATATCCTATTAGTAATAGCTGAACGAATCACAAGAAATCGCTGAGGGTTTGCAAATAAAACAAAAACTCGTAACGCATCTAAACTAATCCTCTTGTCGGGTTAAAAAGTACAAACTTCTCAGCACGTGTCGGACAACGCCTACTTATAATTTCTTTGTGGAAGAGGACGAGTGGTGTCTCCAAACAATGACTTGTTAACTTCAGGGCGAATGCGAAAAACTTCTTTGCAAGCCTTATACATATGTTTGTGTTTTTCTCAATTTCATCTCTATTTTCCTGTTCTGTCAAAAATCGTTCCATTATGGACTCCTAAATAATACTTCGAAGAATTTTGCAATAGAGTCACAAAGCCATAAGAGATCTGTGGAATATTCGCAATGATTTACAAAGATTGAAATGCATGCGTAGTAGGGAATAATATAAGTTTTTAACAATGAGATCAGAACTAAATGAATCAAAAAGCATTAGGGCTACTACGATTCAGTATAGATATGGTACCTGTGACATCTACGATACGTGCACCTAACCTTGTGTAACTTTATGTGTAGAACAATAAATGTATATCTTTCTACTTCTGTTCAGCAAGCACGAGGTGCTATTTTATTTCTTTATTTAAGCACAAGCTGACGTTTCGGCTTCGCCTTCCTCAGAGCCTGGAAGGGTCAAGTTCACAGCAATCCACTCAGCCAAACACCTCCATAACCAAACAGAGAAAACGCTAAACCAAGATTTCAATCACATTTAGCATAGCTCTGCACACTCACCGCTTTCTATGAGTCTTCCACTGAGTATATCGCGTGAAGACCGACCGCACAGAATTCACATGGAAGCGTAATGTGCCCTCCCATCAGAACAACAGGTTATTATACTGTCAAATATCACGCGTGATAACGAGGCATTCCTCCCTGCGGTTCATTTTCGGATTCTTGGAATTAATCCAGAATGCCTCTAGAGTTTTGCGGGCTTGTGTTCGCCATTCTTGCGCGAGGATCGTAACCGTTACTTCAAAATCTTCTCCGTTATGTTTCTGCCTGCTATGCGTACCTAGTGGAGTACTTAGCTTACGTTTACCGACTAGGTGTTCTTTTATGCGGATGCAGAGTGGCCTACGCTTTCGCCAACGTATTCGTCCCCGCACGCTTTACAAGAGATTAGATAGACTGTACCCGAACTCATGCAGTCACCGTCTCTACCATTGGAGCAAATTATGCAATTTTGCGTTGCACATAGACGGTCGTATAGGCGGTTACGAACTAGCTGGCGCCTCAGATTATTCGGTGGTATTTCGATTATCGTTACCGAATTCTCTAGATTGGCCCTTCTTAAACAGCGTTTTATAGCTGCACTTACTTCATTTGAAATAAAGGGCAGTATAAACGGGACCTTGTTGTCGCTAGACTTATCGTTGGGGTACCTGTGGTTTCTTCTACACCTATCTGGAGCTACGGTTTCTTAGTCATTAAAAATGGCTATCTGCCGCGCCAAGTTCCTGGACTCCTCTCTCTGTTGTCTCCCTGTACACACGCTGGTAGCTGTTCGATACATGTTTCTCACAAGCGCCCTTTTCGTGTGAGGGGTGAGAGGTGAGGTAATGAACTAGGATGTCTTTACTACTTGGCTTTCGATACCACTTCGTAACGTAGCCGTTTTCTGATAGGCTAATTTGCACGTTCTGAAATGGAAGCCAGTCTTCTTTTGGTTTCTCTCGGGTGAATTTAATATACTCTGACTGTGTTTTCAACAACTCGAAACATCTGTCGATTTCTTCCTGCGTTGAACAAATGACCAAGCAGTCATCTATATATCTAGAGTAGAGTAACGGACCGAGGTCGATTACTGGCGCTTCCACCTTAGACATGAATGCAATGGCAAGGCTTGGAGCCAGTCGTTGTCCCATTGCCAGCCCTCTCATTTGTGCGTAATACCTCCCGGACCATCTGAAGATTGAGCAGTTTAGGCACTCCTTTAAGAGTGTCATCAACTGCTGAATCGAGAAGCCGTACATGTTTATTGCTCCTTCGTGTTGTATAAGGAGCTCGTTTATGGCTTGCATAGCGGAGTCATTCGACACGTTCGTATAGAGGGCAGTGACGTCGAAGGACTCCACCACGTACGCGCTGTTGGGTCGCGCGTTACGTAGACGATCCAGGAACATTTGGGTGTTCGTTAGATGGGCTGGAATGTACTTCAACAACTGAGTAAGTATTAGGGTTATTAACCACGTTATTCTATCTGTTGGCCCGTCCGCGCAGCTAATGATAGGTCTAACCTTAAATAACGATGGATCGGTAGACACGAGATCATCTCTGGATACTAACTTATGGGTTTTGATAAGTAAGTACAGGACGGGACATGTTGGTAAGTCGATTTTGAGACGAGAAATAACTGATGGTTTTAACCCGGCCGCTCTTGCCACTTTAACCCATTCGTTGTTTAACTTTCGGTATTGACTTTTAAATTCCTTCTCAGACGACGGACGATAAAGCATCTTCAAGGTGCTTTTCCGTTATCTCAACATCTAACTGATGGGGAATTACAACGAACTCTCCACCCTTATCACTAGCCGATAGTCTTATGTTTTTTGATCTTATCAGCTCTCGTACCTCTCGCATACCAC